CGGGAGGTGTTCGAGAATCGCAGATCTGTCATCGGCACATGCACGCACATGCCTGTGCAACCTCTCTTCGGGAGGCCGCGCGGGCCCGCACATGCACGCACATGCGGTGAAGCGCGCGGGCGCACATGCGTGCACATCCCAATGCACATGCACGCTCATGCCCTAGGAGCTGTCTGGGACCCCTGTGCCTCCAATGCCTCCTGGCCTTCGCAGAGCTAACCTGGGGCGTGCCAGGGCTTCCTGAAAGAGTTTGTTGTGCGTTTAGACTCGCCCGCTGCTGGCGGGGGCGGTTCTTCGCCCGGTTCGTGAGCTGGCGGTGGCGCGCCCGCCTAATAAAATACTCTCCCGCGCGCCTTTTCAGCTCGGCCGGAGAAGCAGGGATGGGGGGGGGAAGTGGAGGGGAGGGAGAGGAGGGGGGGGCGGAGAAGGCGGGCGCCCCCGGCTCGGCTGGCCCGCCTGCCTGTTCGGCTCGGCCAGAGGAGAAGGAGGAGGAGGAGGAGGAGAAGGAGGAGGAGGAAGAGGAGGAGGAGGAGGGGGAGGTGAGAGTTGCGAGGATGTCTCAGGCGAAAGTGGCTTGACGGCCCGTCTTGGCGGTTTCTTGGACGGCCTCGGCGTTATTTTTGGCCGCCTCGGGGCTTTGTTCGGGCCATTTTGCCGGGCCTTTTCGGCTATTTTCTATGTCAAATAGCCAACAACTTTTCTACTACAGCACCGGCCCCGGCCGGTAGTAGAAAAATCGTGGCATCTAGGCCCGTCTGGACGGCTTCTTGGACGGCCTTGGCGCTATTTTTGGCTGCCTCGGGGCTTTGTTCGGGCCCTTCTGCCGGGCCTTTTCGGCTATCTTCGACGTCAAATAGCCAACCATTTTTCTACTACAGCAACGGCCCCGGCCGGTAGTAGAAAAATCGTGGCATCTGGGGCCGTCTGGACGGCTTTTTGGACGGCCTTGGCGTTATTTTTGGTTGCCTCGGGGCTTTGTTCGGGCCCTTCTGCCGGGCCTTTTCGATTATCTTCTACGTCAAATAGCCAACCATTTTTCTACTACAGCACCGGCCCCGGCCGGTAGTAGAAAAATCGTGGCATCTGGGGCCGTCTTGGCGGCTTCTTGGACGGCCTCGGCGCTATTTTTGGCTGCCTCGGCCACCGGCGAGCTCGGCCTGTGCGAATACTGTGCGTACCTGTGCAGTGCATGTGCGGGACGTGCACGAATGCCGGGGCCGGCGTTCGTCTCCGGACGCCGGCGCGTTCGCGTCCGGCCAGTTCCGCGTGAGACGTCGTCGGCAATCTGGAGGCCGACGTGCTTTGACATGAAGTGATCTGGCCACCTTCGCCTGAGACATCCTCGCAACTCTGGTCTCGGAGATGCCCTGCCCCATGGTGGCCCGGCCACTTTCGCTTGAGACATCCTCGGGACTCTGGGTTTCGAGACGCCCTGAGCTGAGGTGGTTCGACCACTTTCGCCTGAGACATCCTCGCAACTCTGACCTCAGAGATCTCCTGCCCCATGCTGGTCAGGCCACGGTCGCCTGAGACATTTTTGCAAGTCTCGATTCCGATATGCCCCGAGCTGAGGTGGTCAGCCACTGTCGCCTGAGACTTCGTCGCAACCCTGATCTCAATGATGCCCTGCTCGATAGTGTCTCGGCCCCTTTCGCCTGAGACATCCTCGGAACTCGGGGTTCCGAGACGCCCTGAGCTGAGGTGGTTAGACCATTTTACCTTTGGACATCCTCGCCCGAGATGCCCTGAGTTGAGCTGTTCAGGCCACTTTTGCCTGAGACATCCTCGCAACTCTGACCTCAATGATGCCCCGCTCCATAGTGTCTCGGCCTTTTTCGCCTGAGACCCTCGCAACTCTGGGTTCTGAGATGCCCTGAGCAAGTGGTCAGGCCAGTCCTGCCTGAGACATCCTCGCAACTCTGGGCTCCGAGATGCCCTGGGCTGAGGTGGTCAGACCACTCTCCCCAGAGACATCCTCGCAACTCTGACCTCAGAGATCTCTTGCCCCATGGTGGTCAGGCCACTTTCGCTTGAGACATCCTCACAACTCAGACCTCGGAGGTGTCCTGCCCCATGGTCGTCTGGTCACCTTGACCAGCGACATCCTCGCCACTCTGGTTTCCAAGATGCCCTGCCCCATGGTGATCCGGCCACGCTTGCCTGAGACATCCTCGGAACTCTGGGTTGCGAAATGCCCCGAGCTCAGGTGGTCAGGCCACTATCGCCTGCGACATCTCTGCGGCATGTGCGGGCATGTGCGTCTATGCTTTCAGAGTTTTGCTTGACCGTGCATTCGACTGTGCGTCGGACGGTGTGGCATGTGCGCGCATGTGCGGCAATGCTGTTGAGGCTTTTGTATACTTGCATGGGCATGTGCATGCGACTGTGCGGCATGTGCCTGCATGTGCGGCCCCTTCCGGACCACAATTTCAAAGTGAGCACTATAGAAGTGAGCGCTATAGAAGTGAGTCCGGTGTATTGCACGGTCCCGTTCGCGGCCGTTTTGTGGGGATGTCTCAAGCGGTTTGCTGGTTTTTCTGTCCCAGCATCCTTCGCTTTCGGAGCAGATTTGGAGGATGTCTCGAGCGAGGCGCTCATTCTCACGCCCTAAGGGGAGCCGCCGAGGAGTTATCTCACGGTCCCGTTCGCGGCCGTTTTGTGGGGATGTCTCCAGCGGTTTGCTGGTTTTCTGTCCCAGCACCATTGGCTTTCGGAGCAGATTTGGAGGATGTCTCGAGCGAGGCGCTCATTTTCACGATCCTAAGGGGAGCCGCCCGTGGTTATCTCACGGTCCCGTTCGCGGCCGTTTTGTGGAGAAATCTCAAGCGGTTTGCGTGTGGTCTGTCCCAACATCCTTCGCTTTCGGAGCAGATGGAGGATGCCTCGAGCGAGGTGCTCATTTTCACCACCCTAAGGGGAGCCGCCAGGGGTTCTCTCACGGTCCCGTTCGCGGCCGTTTTGTGGGAATGTCTCAAGCGGTTTGCCTGCTTTCTGTCCCAACATCCTTCGCTTTCGGAGCAGATTTGGAGGATGTCTCGAGCGAGGCGCTCATTTTCACGTCCCTAAGGGGGGCCGCCAGGGGTTCTCTCACGGTCCCGTTCGCGGCCGTTTTGTGGGGATGTCTCGAGCGGTTTGCCTGCTTTCTGTCCCAACATCCTCCGCTTTCGGAGCAGATTTGGAGGATGTCTCGAGCGAGGCGCTCATTTTCCCTCCCCTCAGGGAAGCCGCCAGGGGTTCTCTCACGGTCCCGTTCGCGGCCGTTTTGTGGAGATGTGTCCAGCGGTTTGCTTGTTTTCTGTCCCAACATCCTTCGGTTTCGGAACAGGTTTGGAGGATGTCTCGAGCGAAGCGCTCATTTATCACCCTAAGGGGAGCCGCCAGGGGTTATCTCACGGTCCCGTTCGCTGCCGTTTTGTGGGGATGTCTCCAGCGGTTTTTTTGGGGGGGGGGGCCAACATCCTTCGCTTTCGGAGCAGATTTGGAGGATGTCTCGAGCGAGGCGCTCATTTTCACCCCCCTCAGGGAAGCCGCCAGGGGTTCTCTCACGGTACCGTTCGCGGCCGTTTTGTGGGAATGTCTCCAGCGGTTTGCTTGTTTTCTGCCCCAACATCCTTCGCTTTCGGAGCAGATTTGGAGGGTGTCCTGAGCGAGGCGCTCATTTTCACCCCCCATGTGGGCCAGATTTTGAGGATGCCTCGATCGGTAGCCAGACTCGTGGGTACGGATTCTCCTCAGGATGCCACAGGAGGCTCCAACAGGCTCCAGGAGGCCCCAGGAGACCACATGAGGTCCAAGGCGGCATCGGGAGGCTACAGAATGTCCCAAGAGGCTCTGGGAGGCCCCAGGAAGCTCCGGGATGCATCAGGAAGCCACAGGAGACCCCAGGAGGCCAGAGGAAGCGCCAGGAGGCCTTGGAAGGCAACAGGAGGCGCCGAGAGGCCCCAGGAGCAGGAGGCCTCAGAAGACAACAGGAGTGGCTCCAATCCCATGTATTTTACGTATGCTCCTATCGATTGGGCCTCACCTAGAGCACGAATTCTTGATGTTATACGTATGTTTCTATAGATTGTCCTTCTCCTGTGTACTTATGTTCCTATAGGGCCTCTCCTGGGGCACGAGTCCTTGGTGTTTTGCGTGTGTTCCTATAGATTGCCCCCTTCTCCTGTGGCTCCAATCCGCAATGTTTAATGTACGTCTGTTGCTATCGAGTGGGCCTCTCCTGGGGCACGAATCCTCCCTAGGAGGTCCCAGGAGGCCCCAGGAGGCCCCAAGAGGCTCCTGGAGGCCCCAGGAAGCCCCAGTAGGTTTCAGGAGGCCCCAGGAGGCCCCAGGAGGACCCAGGCTCATGCGAAGAGACGCGCTCGTACTACTGAGGCTCATTCACACTCCAATTCATTCTCAGTTAGATTCATGACCAGACCGTCACAACTGAAGCCCGTTTATATTCGAAAGCTCTTGCGCCTAGACGTTCACAGCGGACAGGTCCATGCGAATAGATGCACATATGGGGAGCTCCACGCAGTGAATAATCTAGTCCTCCCTCCTCCTCCGCCCATCTCGATGTGGTGTTTGCGCCTGCTGCGGCGCTGGCTTGGGAGGGCCCTCGACGAAAGCACTTGGACGAGGGAACTCGATCGTCCCCTTCTGGCTCCTTTCTCATCCTAGGGGAGCAGGAGCCAAGCGCCACTCTTGTCCTCCTCCGTCTTTCTCCCCGTGCTCCCTTTTGTCGTTGCTTGTCCTCCATGTCCTTCCATCTCGCTCAGTCGCTCGCTCGATCGCCCTGCTTCTCCTCCTCCTGCTGCTGCTCCTCCTCCTCCTCCTCCTGCACCTCCCTCTTCCCTCTTCCTCCTCCCTCTTTCCTCCTCCTCCTCCTCCCCGTCCTCCTCTTCCTCGTCCCGCCCCTCCATCCCATTTCTCTTACTCTTCTCCCTCCACACTCTCTTCGTTTCCTCTTCGCTCCTCCTCCGCCTCGGCCGCTGCCGACACCCAGACCTGCTGAGGTCATAAAACCCATGGACTACCTCGAGGTCTTGCGGAGCAAGTGGGCCGCACTCCTCTCGATGAGGAGGAGGCTAAGCGGGGATCATTGCGAGGAGACTGGGGCGGGGGAGGTGGTGGTTCCTCGGGAGTGACTTCCAGTGTGGTTTCTCGGGAGTGACTTCCAGTGACCTCAGCCTTCGTGAGTCTCGGTGTGGTTCCTCGGGGTTGACTTCTGTGAGAGGCAGGGGTCCGTCTGGGGCGCGGTTCAAATGAAGGGGGGGCGGGGCGAACATGGGACACATTACAGCCACGTCGGAACATATTCCAACCATATCTTGCCAATTCCAACCAGTTCGGCACCAATCCCAACCGCCTCGAGCCGTCTTGGAGGCCTTTTCACACGGATCCTTGTCAGACTCCTATAGGATGCCAGAGGTATCGTTCCATGATCCCTGAGAGATCCTTTCAGGATTCTGGAGAAATCCTTTCAGGATCTTTCAGATTCTCTTACAGGATCCCTGAGGCATCCTTACATGATCCTGGAAGCAGTTATACAGGATCCGTGAGGGAACCTTACAGGATCCTCGAGAGATTCTCACAGTATCCCTCAGAAATCCTTACAGGACCCATGAGAACTCGCTACAGTATCCCAGATATATTATTACGGGTTCTTTTGAGAGATTTTGATTGGATCTTTGCGGGATTGTTCAGGATCCTTGAGAAAGCTTTACAGGATCTCTGATCGATTTTTGCTGGATCCCTGAGAGATCCTCACTTGAAGATTCTTACGGGATCCCTGAACAGGTCTTCTGGAGTCCGTCAGAGATTGTTACGGGATCCTTGGGAGGTTCTCACAGGATCTTTCATTGATCGGCCCCTGTCTCTTTTCCATGGCACGGGATTGTCCAAGCCTCCGAGGGGAGCGTTTCCATTTGGAGGCGTTGCATTCCCTCGGGGGCTCAGAGGGTCCCCCAAAACCCATGGGGGGGAAGTAGGGACCGAACGAATCGCCTTGCTCTCCGCTGCCGCCGCCGTGTGGTTAGGCCCCGCCTCCCTTTCTGTGGCGCGGGTTTCTCCAGGCCCCCGGAGGTAACGCTTCCATTGGAGGCGCTGCATACCCTCAGGGCTTCGTAGAAACCCTGAACCCATGGGTGTGGGAAAACCGGGCCGAACTATTCACAAGGGCGCCCTCGAGGGCGCGAAGTTATTCGCGCTTCGCGCTTCGCGGTTCGGCTCCGATTCCCCCTCATCCTCCTCTCTTCTCCTGGGAGGCGGCGCGAGAGCGCGAAGTTATTCGCACTTCGCGCTTCGCGCAGCGCGAAGCGCGAAGTTGGGAGCCCTTGTATTCACCTTTGTCCGTGCTCCAGCCTCCGGGTCGCGCGGCCCCGCCTCCTTTCCCGCGGGCTCGAGCTTTCCCCAAGCCCCAAGGGTGTAACGCTTCCAGTGGATGCGCAAGGGCTCCCTCGAGGGCGCGAAGTTATTCGCGCTTCGCGGTCCTCGTTCCTTCTCCCCCTCCTCCTCGTCCTCCTATTCTCCTTCTGGGAGGGCGGCGCGAGAGCGCGAAGTTATTCGCGCTTCGCGCTTCGCGCAGCGCGAAGCGCGAAGTTGGGAGCCCTAGATGCGTTTCATACCTTCGGGGCCTCGGAGAGCCCCCGTACCCATGGGGGGAGACAGGGGCCGAATGTTCACCTCTGTCCTTGCTCCCGCCGCCGACTCGTTCGGCCCCCGCCCCCTTTTCCGCGGGCGCGGGATTCTCCAAACCCCCGAGTGCAGCGCTTCCGTTGAAGGCGTTGCCAACATTCGGGGGTTTGGAGATCCCCCGAACCCAGTGGGAGGAACAGAGGGACCGAACGAGTCACCTTGACGCCGCTGGATCGTTTGGCCCCCGCCTCACTTCCTCTTCTCGGCCCCCTAGGGTACCGCTTCCAAGTGAGGTGTTGCACACCTTCGGGGGCCCAGAGAGCCCCCGAACCCATGGGGGGGGGGGGGGGAAAGCCGAACGATCCGCGCATTTCTGTGCTCTCGCCGCCGAGTCGCTCGGTTGCCGTTTCTTTCCTTTCGGGCTCGGGTTTCTCCAAGCTCCCGAGGGTAATTAACGCTTCCAATAGGGGCGTTGCATATCCTTGGGGGCCCGTGGAGCCCCCCAACCGATGTGGAGGGAGAGGAGGGGCCGAACGAGACACCTTACCTTCCGCTGCCGCCGCCGAGTCGTTCGACCCCCGCCCCTTGTCCAGAGGGGTTCGGGGTTTTCTGGGCACCCGTGGGTAACCCCCCCAATTGTAATTACATGTTTACGCGTCGTACGACTACCCTTACAAATCTGAGTGCCACGACTACAATTATCATTGCTATTGCGGTTTCTATAGTTACCTGGTGCGGAACGATTGTACATATCAGATTATCAAGATGTGTATGCCGAATGCGCAAACCCATGACATCCTACTCTGGAAGCATGACACCTTACACACTTCGCGTGGAGCTACAGTTTTGAGCCGATAGATCCATCAAATGATAAATCTGCATGCTGGTGTATGTGTAGATATATATATATATATACGTCGTACGAGATCCAGAGAGCCCCCGTACGGAAACCATGCCAATCTCATGTTGCCGTTCGGCATTCGCTACATATATATATTACACACGTATGCGGGATGTTTGCGGTTTTCATGGGGCAGCAGTACAACATATACAAGCGAAAACAACACAGGGCCTATTTTGATGTTGTGCGTTTCTCACATGGCATCTGTACACTTCGGAGACAAACGCGTGTATAGCAAAAACTATACAAGTGTCGTTGTGCACCGGTACTTCTCCTCCCAGATGAAAGTTTTGCCGTTCTTTCTTTGAAATGCCATACGCAGCACTCATTTCTATACCCCTGGGTGGGTTTATGTGCGGCCGCTTTTGCGTTGGCATGTGCGTGCACGTGCGCGGCATGGGCCCGGCATGCTCCCAGCATATGCGGGCCTTCTGGGTTGGACGTCCTACTGTGCATGCGCGCCCGGGCATGCTCAGGGCCATGTGCGCTGTGTTCGGTGCGTCCTTTGCTTGCAAATGCCTGCACATACTGGCGCACATGCCCACACATGCCTGCACATGCTGAAGGTGCGCGGTTATTGCAGATCTGCCAGCGGCACATGCATGCACATGCCTGTGCAATCTTCCTGCGGATTACCGCGCGGCCCGCACATGCACCCACATGTGTTGAAACGCGCGCTCACACATGCTGGCACATTCCGTCGCACATGCCCGCGCATGCCTTCGGAGTTGTCTGGGGTCCTCAGAAGAGCTTCCCAGGGTGGATCTCGTGCCATACGTGCTGAGAGAGCTTGCGCGCTTGACTCGCCCACTGTTGATGGGACGGTTCTTCGCCCGCGGGCTACGTCTAACATGCGCATCACCTTTTGTCGCCGTCCAGAGGCCGGGCAGAATTCGTTGGCGTGCCCAGTCAAATCCTGCGCGCCTGGTCGGTTCGGCCGGAAGAGCAGGAGGAGGGGAGGAAAGAAATCAGACGGAAGGGTGGAGGGATTAGAAAGAGGGGGGGAGGCCGTGGAGGAGGCCGAGGACGAGCACGCTCTCGCAGTTCGCATCTCGGACCTGTGCGGGGCAAGTGCGGGACGTGCAAGAAGGCTGGGGCCGATTCAAGTGGCGCCCCGCTCGCGCCCTGCGCAGACGCGCGCAGCGCTTGCGTTGCCCGCGTATGCCGCCAGCAGCGGGACGCCAGAGCAGTGGTCCAGCCAGTTTCTCCTGAGACATCCGCGCAACTCTGACCTCGGTAATGCCCTGGGCTGATATGGTCTGGCCACTTTCGCATGAGACATCCTGGCAATTCTGACGGCGGAGATGCCCTGCCCTATGGTGGTCCATCCGCTTTCGCCTGAGACATCCTCGCAACTCTAAATCCGGAGATGCCCCGCCCCATGGTGGTCCAGCCACTTTCGCCTGCGACATCTTGGCAACTCTGGGCTCCGACATGCCCTGAGCTCAGGTGGCCTGGCCTCCTTCGCCTGAAGCATCCTCGCAACTCTGCCCTCGGAAATGCCCTGCCCCATGGTGGTCCAGCCATACCCTGGACACATCCTGGCAACTCTGTGTTCCGAGGTGCTCCTGAGCTGAGGTGGTCAAGCCACTTTGGGTTGAGACATCCTGGCGACTCTGACCTGGGAAATGCCCCGAGCTGAGGTGGCTCATCCACTTCCGCCTGAGACATCCTCGCAACGCTGACTTCGGAGTTGCCCTGCCCCATTGTGGTCCAGCCATTTTCGCTAGATCTATACTCGCAGCTCTGAGGTGCCCTGAGCTCAGGTGGTCAGGCCACTTTGGCCAGAGACATCCTCGCCACTCTGACGTCGGAGACGCCTTTCCCAGTGATGGTCTAGCTATTTCGCCTGAGACACCCTGGCAACTTTGGGCTCCGAGATGCCCTGAGCTGGGGTGGTCAGGCCACTTTCGCTTAATACATCCTGGCAACTCTGACCTCGGAGATGCCCTGCCCCATGGTGATCCAGCCACTTTCGCCTGAGACATCCTAGCAACTCTGGGTTCCGAGTTGCCCTGAGCTCAGGTGGTCAGGCCACACTCGCATGAGACATCCTCGCAACTCTTGGTTCAAGATTCCCTGAGCTGGGGTGGTCAGGCCACTTTCGCCTGAGACATCCTGGCAACTCTCTGACCTCGGAAATGCCCTGCCCCATGATGGGCCAGCCCATCTCGCTGGAGAAGTCCTCGCCACTCTCTGTTCGAACTGTCTGAGCTGAGGTGGCCTGGCCTCTTTCGCTTGAGACATCCTCGCAACTCTGACTTCGAAGATGCCCTTGCCCCATGGTGGTCCAGCCAACTTCACCTGAGATATACTGGCAACTATGGGTTCCGAGGTGCTCTGAGCTGAGGTGGTCAGGCCACTTTGGGTTGAGACATCCTGGCAACTCTAATCTCGGAGATGCCCTGCCCCATGGTGGTGATGCCACTTCCCTGAGATATTTTGGCAACTCTGGGCTCCGAGACGCCCTGAGCTCTGGTGGTCAGGCCTTTTTCGCCTAAGACATCCTCGCTCCTCGGAGATGCCCTGCCCCATGCAGCCACTTTCGCCTGAGACATCCTAGCAACTCTGGGTTCCGAGTTGCCCTGAGCTCAGGTGGTCAGGCCACACTCGCCTGAGACATCCTCGCAACTCTGGGTTCAAGATTCCTTGAGCTGGGGTGGTCAGGCCACTTTCGCCTGAGACATCCTGGCAACTCTCTGACCTCGGAAATGCCCTGCCCCATGATGGGCCAGCCCATCTCGCTGGGGAAGTCGTCGCAACTCTGGGTTCGAACTGTCTGAACTGAGGTGGCCTGGCCACTTTCGCCTGAGACATCCTCGCAACTCTAAATCCAGAGATGCCCTGCCCCATGGTGGTCCAGCCAATTTTGCCTGAGACATTCTCGCAACTCTGGGTTCCGAGATGTCCTGAGCTCAGGTGGGCAGGCCGTTTTCGCCTGAGACATCCTCGCAACTCAGAATTTCGAGATGCCCTGAGCCAATGTGGTCAGCCACTTTCGCCTGAGACACCCTCGCAATTCTGACCTCAGAAATGTCCAGTTCCGAGATGCCCTGCGCTAAGGTGGTCTGGCCATTTTCGCCGGAGACATCCTCGCAACTCTAACCACCGAGATGCCCTGAGCTGAGGTGTTCAGGCCACTCGCCACATCTCTTTTGTTTGATTGGTGCTGTCATCTGCCACGTTATGTAGTTGGCTACGGTGTTGCCGCTCGAGCCAGCCACATCCGTTTCCCTCGTTTTATTTGTTTCTTCCACATTTCTCTCCCATGTTTCATCTTTCCTCCCTATATGCGTCTCTGGCCACCGACGGAATCTTAGACTCCACGGCATGTGCGGGCCTGTGCGTTTATATGTGTGGAGTTTGTCCAGACTGTGCATCCGACTTAGCATCGGTCTGTGTGGTGTGTGCGCACATGTGCGGCCGTGCTGTTTGGACTTATGCAGGGTTGCATGGGCATCTGCATGCGACTGTGTGGCATGTGCGTGCATGTGCGGCCCCTGGCGGGCCTCAAAACCAAAGTGAGCACTAAAGGCATGATCACTATAGAAGTGAGTCTGGTGTACGAGTCCAGTGTGGGCGCTCTAGAACCACCGAGTAGGCCTGTGTTCCTAAGCAAATCCCATCCAGTTTCTTTTGTGCGACATGTGTTACGCGTTTTTTTCTCGACAGATATTGACTTTTCATTATATGCGATCCATGTTTTTCGGATGGCAGTTGTACAATTGCCATACCAAGACAACCCGAGACAACCCTTGTCTGACAGATTGAAGGTTCCCATTTGGAAATATAGAGTTCTCACCTGAGACAGTACGCCGTATCAAATGCGTAATACATCGGTTCCACGCCATATTACGCATGCGCACCCAGAAACATTCCATGAGTTTATCGCTTAGCTCATTCCGCCGGCCCATATTGTCTCGCCGCTGTCTTTTGTTTTGGGTGTTGTTGTCAATGTTGTGCCGCTGGGCGGCTTGCATTTTCTGGAGGCGGGGCGTGGTGAGCGTCGCAGGTGAACGCGGAAAGCTTTCAGCGAAGCACGGAAAATCTGTAATTTTTGTTTATTGCAAGGTCACCGGGAGTCGGGAGTGGTCTTGATGGCATCTTGGAATATCTTGGGTGCGTTTGAGGCCATCTGGACTCCATCTTGGGCACTTTGGAGCGACATCCAGTGACTCATATGGTATGACTGGTGCTATATGTTGGTATCGTGGAGCGACATACAACGACTCAGATTCTATGTCTTGTGCTATATGTTAGTGTGCTCGTGGCGAGAAGGAGAAGGAGGGGGGGAGGAGGAGGAGGAGGAAGAAGGGAGGAGGATGAGGGCAAGGACGAGGCGTCTCGATAGTTTCTTGGTCGCGGAGAAGACGCCTTTTTCTGTGCTTCTTGGGGGTCTCCTGGGAGGCCTCTCTGGGGCCTCTTGGCGGTATGTTTGGGTCCTTCTCGAGCCTCTCGGAGGCCTCTCGCGGGCCTCTTGGGAGCCTCCTGGGGCTTTTTGGGGGTCTCTTGGGGGCCTCCCGGGGGCCTCCTGGTGGCCTCTCGGGGCCGAGGGCCCGAAATGTCCGTTCGGGTCCCTCGTCTGGGCTCCCTCTTGGAGCCGTTTTGGGGGCCTCTTGGGCCGTCTTGGAGGTCACTGGGGTCGTCTTGGGGCCTTCTGGGGCGGTTTTGAGGCCCTCTTGGGGGCCTCTTGGCCCGTGTAGGGGCGATCTTGGAGGCCTCTTGAGCCTTCTGGACGTTGCGAAAACCTAGTGGCGAGTATACCAAACATATACGTTTCTAAAGGGAATGGGGCATTTTTTGCTTGTTGGGGCCCTCTTTGGACGCCTCTAGGGGACCTCTTGGGGCGCCTTGAAGGCCTATCGGGCCGTATGAAGGCCACCTTGGGCGTCTTGGAGTGTTTTTTTTGGCGTCTGGGGGCTCTCCTGGACCGTGCCCTCTTGGACTTCGAGAAAGAGTTCCTGCATCAGTGACGGGACCGGCCAGAGCCCGTGAGGGGTGCGTTTCGTCCGGGGACCCCCCGGGGGCCACCACACGCGCGCGAACTAGAAAGATTGTTACTCCATTACTGGAGATCCCAGCATGCCTCTGGCCCGATGGGCCGGCGAATCTGTAACATTGCCCTTGTGCACATTGCGTCGGAAGTGGATGGACCTCCTACCCTGACATGTCGATTAGCGAATTGACCGTATTCGGTTCGCGAGAGGGCGTCGCGCCCGTCATTTTTGCGGGTCCAGGTCCGTCGGTTTCGGTCCCAGGCCGTTTTCACTAAGGGGAGTTTTGCTAAAGGGAGGTTTATCCACCGCCGATTGCGTACATGAAATTTGAACATGTTTACGTTCTCATTTGGAAATTGCGCAACATATCATTAAGTAACTTGAAGCATTATACCGCTGTCGTGTGCAAGCTGTAAATGTCTGTCATGCTAGCCATAGAGCTCTAGTAACACAGGTGACCGCTGCTCCCTTGCGAGACTACATCAGATCCAAATGGAACAAGGAAATTGGTAATAGGTCCAACTCTGACGCTCATGCTGTTTGCCAGAAAAAACTGTGTACACTTCAGCGTCGCATTTGCTGTCGGGATCATTTTAAAACGCGCCACAATTAGGACCTTACGTGGCGGCCCAAGATGGATGGCTCTTCGGCCGGTGGAGACTCAGCACGCAATGTTGACATTGGTGCCAGTGGGTTGCGATTGGTCCGTCATGCGGGGGGGTGCTCCTCGCTCGGGTTAGGTCGGGCATGTCCCTCTACAGGAGTAACATTCAAAACAAATATAAAACATCTGGAAGGAATAATGTTCAGACATAGTTAGAAAAACCGTCTGGGGAGGACTTGTGGATCACGTCGGACTCTTTTCGAGCATTTTTTTGGGGGGGGTATGTTTCATTCTTCGGCCAGAGCGCCTGTACGGGGGGACCCGCCCGACCACATGCTCGGGCCCTCCCGGCACGCTCTGTCAGGCCTCCCCGCTGCTGCCCCAGCGCTCGCGCGGCTCCGTCGTCGGGGTAGGCCTCGGGCCTCAACGGTCTGCGTCGCCCGACCGACCGACCGAAAGTGAGGAGGAGGAGGAGGCGGAGGAGGAGGAGGAGGAGGAGGAGGAGGAGGAGGAGGAGGAGGAGGAGGTAAGCAGGTAGTGGAAGGAGCAGGAGGAGGAGGGAGGAGGAGGAGCAGGAGAGGAGCAGGAGCAGGAGATGGAGGAGGAGGAGGAGGAGGAGGAGGAGGAGGAGGAGGAGGAGGAGGAGGAGTAGAAGAAGGGGGAGGAGGTAAGCAGAGAATGCAGGAGGAGAAGGAGGATGAGGAGGAGGAGAAGGAGGAGGAGAAGGAATACTTCAAAAAAGGTAAAGGTCCCGAGGGGACAGGAGGAACGCCTGCCAGGTGGAGGGCGGCGCTCCACGCGGCCTGCGTGGCCAAAGCCTCCGACGTCGTGTGCCCGGACGCTGGCTGCGGGGTGCGCCCCCCGCCTGTAGCCCCGAGTCGCCCGGAAAGGCGGCGTCCTGCCCGGAAAGCGTCGTTCTCATCTTGTTGCTTCAGGATCGAAGGAAGGAAGTACGCGTGCATGAGTCCAGGTTGGTTTCGAGAGTCTGCATTGTGCGAACCTTCGTATCAGGCGGCTGGTCTCGCGGGTCGGGGGGGGGGGGGGGGGCGTGTTCGTGTACGTTGGTGGGCGCGTACGTCCTTTCTGTGGGCTCTCTACTGTTCCTGTCCTCCGCGTAACAGGGACCTGCATACATCTCATTGCTTCGTAGGTCCTGGCGCACTTCTTGGGTAGGCGATGGGCCCCCCTCCCGCCCCCCCCTGGGCGGAGCCTCCAGCGCCGCCCTTGGCGCCTTCCGCGCGCCTGTGAAGATGGTGCGAAGAAAGATGCACAGCATCCCCCGAAGAAGTCCGCGCGGACCGTGAGAGTTTATGTTTATGCACATTGTTTGTCTGTAATGTGTTTTGTTTATCTCTTTTTGATATGTTTCTTTCCTTTTTTTTGTTCTCTCTCTCTCTCTCTGTACGTATGTGTATATATTCCTCTTCCTATATTTTTGTAAGCCTGGGCGGGGGGAAAACCCGTCCCCCCCCCAAAACCGGACTCCCGGGATCTTGGGCTTTGGGACTCTCCGGACGGGCCTCGAAGCGGCCACCAGGCCTCGCAGGGCGCTTTGCCAAGCCTTCCCAGCACACCTAGGGCGATCAGGGGGGTCATCGGAGACGTCCCAGAGACCCCCAAGACAGCACAAGAGCGCTCCAAGAGTGACCGATGTGACCTCAAGATGGCCCAAGAGGCCTCCAGGACGGCCCCAAAGAGACCTCCAAGAGCACTCCCAAGAAGGCCCCCCGAGGCAAGAATCATTGATTTACTATTGGTTTTTGGTGAATTTGGGGGTTCTCGTCTTTTCGGCTTCCCGACGCTCCAAGACGGCGGTCTTCTGGGCGTCCGAAGCCGCCTGGGAGGCTCCGAAATCGCCCTTCAACCATCCGAAAGGGCTTCCAGACAGTCCAAGAGAGCCCCAAAACGGCACAACACGGGTCCAAGATGGCCCTCAGAGAGCCCCATGGTGGCCCAAGATGGCCCAAAGACGCCCTCCAAAGAATTCCAAATCGTGATTCGGTCGTTCAGGGAGACCGCGGTTGGAGGCAGGTTGGCCCGAGGAAGCCCCCGGAGGCCCCCAGAATACGCCCAGGAGGCCTCCAGAAGGCCCTAAGAAAGCCTCAAACAACTTTTGTGAGGCCCCTAGAGGCTCTCCAAGGAGGAGCCTCCGCAAAAAGAGCTGAGGAGGATGGGGAGAATGCGCAGGGTATGGCGAACATAAGGAAGAAGAATAGGAAGAAGCATGGAGGAAGGATAACGAATAAAATTATTATAGCGGCGATGCCGGAAAAGGCAACCAGGAGTTATCGCTAAATTGTCGGTTTGACTTTCCTGCTATTCCGCCTGCATGCCAAATTTCAAGACCAAGGTGCATGGCGCGAAGCGCCACTGCAGCCTGGTATGTATAAATATATAGTACACCCGAGAGAAGCCCCAATTAGTGGATTGTTTGAAAATTTGGCAGTCACCATGCCTGGCTGCAGTTTCGCAGTAGGACCCAAAGAGGCCCTAGATACATATTCTTTGTAAGTTTCAGACGGGTTGTGGCATCCTCGCATTCTCTGGCTTGCGTCGGTTCGAAACGGCCGAAGCGGCCTCCAAGATAGACGATTTCAGAGGGCCCGTCGACGGCCCAATGCGGCCTTGCTTCTCCCCCTTGTCCTCCTCCATTGTGCTTAAACGCTGTGCTGGACTGGGCTGGGCTGGGCTGGTCGGCTAAACCCAGGGGGGCTCCATTTTGTTAAGTCGCCGTGCTAGGCTGGGCTGGGCCGCATTGGTTGGCAGGGGGACCCCTTTGTTTAAGTCGCCGTGCTCGACTGGGGTGGGCCAGGCTGGCCAGCTAAAGCCCGAAGGACCCTATGTTGTTCATTCGCAGGCTAGGGCCCGGGTGGGCGGCGTTTGGCGTTTGGCCAGTCTCTCCCCTGATGGTGCTCTGCGGTTCAGCTCCCTTATTTTCCGTCCTTCTCCCTCCTCCTCCTCCTTCTCCAGGCCTCCCAGATGATGGGGTCCAAGTAGACGGGATCGGAGGATCGCGCCGCATTGACGATCTATCGGCGATGCATCAGCGATGCATTGCCGATGCATGGGCGACGTCGGCAGTGCATCGGCGACGTCGGCGTGAAGAACATCGGGCTCCGCCTCGAGACGCATCGCCTATGCATCGGGGATGCGGTGCGATCCTCCGACCCCGTCTATTCCGATCCCATCTACGGAACCTAGTCCTCCTCCCCATGCTGACTATCCTCCTCCTCCTCCTCCTCCTCCTCCTCCTCCTCCTCCTCCTTCTCCCCCTCCATTGTGTTAAATCATTGTGCTGGACTGGGGTGGGCTGGGCTGGTCGGCTACAGCCAGGGGGACCCCATTTTGTGAAGTCGCCGTACTGGGCTGGGGTGTGCTGGGTCGGTCGGCTAACGCCAGGGGGACCTCATTTTGGTAAGTCGCCGTGCTGGGCTGGGGTAGGCCGGATTGGCCGGGTAAGCACAGAGGAACCCATTTTGTTAAGTCGCTGTGCTGGGCTGTTGTGTGCTGGGCTGGACGGCTAAAGCGGGGGGGGGGGCATTTTGTTAAGTTGCCGTGCTGGGCTGGGATGGGCGTTTATCTACTTCTTCATTTCTGTTCATGAGATCGATTGTGAAGTCGATTGAGTGAGACTTATAGTGAGATCGATCATGAAATCGATAGTGAGGTCGATCTTGAGATCGGTAAAGACATGGATAGGGAGATCGGCTGGGAACCCGGGAACCCAGGAACCCCGCAGTCTACCGAATCCAGCCCAGAACCAGCAACCGGGATACCGGGTACCAGGAACCTGAGGACCTGGTCCCGAATTTTCGCCAAATATTTCAACATTTACCCCTTCAGTGTAAGCACTGATATGGGACATGTTATTAGCTTGACTGCGTGCTTCTTGGTCGCGTGTACACATGACATACTTGAAAGTATGCACACACATGTATCTATGAATTTCTACGTGTGCACATCTGCATGTCATATTGTATCCCGAAATCGGCCCGTGCTTTCCATGGTTGGATGTTGAATTCGATAGTGGGAGCAATCGTGAGATCGATAGTGTGATCGATAGTGTGATCGTTAGTGAGTTCGATCGCGACCAGGGATGGCGTTCGCGTTTGAGCGTTCAGAGGTCAAGAACGCTGGCTCTCACCCCGGAGAGACGCGCGCGCTGATGTGTGTAAGGGGGGTGTGGGCAGAACGCTCGCGCTCGCTGCCTCTTTGCGGGCCTACATATCTCTGGCGGCGCGCAAAGGGGGGTAGGGGGAGGGGGGAAAGGCTTCTTAAAGGAGCCTGCCTCTTCGAAGGCACCGGCCCTACATCTACAGAGACGGCCCGCGCCTTCTAAGGAGCAGGGGTGCTTCTAAGAAGCTTTCCCCCCTCCCCCAACCCCCCTGTGCGTGCCGCCAATATCGACTTCGTGCCAGGTGGTTCCCCGAGCGCACTCTGGAAGCACGCGCTGCGGTGTTCTCTGCGCGTGCTGCGGACGTCGGGCCGGCATCGCCACTGCGGGGAGCCGGCTGCACCGCCGTCGTCGGTGCTCTGCGGCGCAGTGGTGGACCTCATGCGACCCCTCCTGCTCTTGCTGGTCCCATCTTCTCCTCCTCCCTCCACCCTTCTCCCTCCCTTCTCAAGGGCTCCCTCGAGGGCGCGAAGTTATTCGCGCTTCGCGCTTCGCGGTCCTCGATCCTTCTCCCCCTCCTCCTCGTCCTCCTTTTCTCCCTTTGGGGGGGCGGCGCGAGAGCGCGAAGTTATTCGCGCTTCGCGCTTCGCGGAGCGCGAAGCGCGAAGTTGGGAGCCCTTGATCCGGCGCGGGCCGTTGCGGCCTGCAGCCCGCATCGAGTGCTGCACGCCTACGGCTGCACCCCTGGCGGGCCCTCCTCGGGGAGCTCCGATCCGGTGCGACCCTCGCCCCCCTCCCTACCCTTCCCGCCCTCCCTGGGCCGCGGCGGAGGGAGGAGCTCTAGAGCTGGGCGGGCGACGTGCGAGCAGAACGGGGCCGTCTCTCTCTCTCTCTCTCTCTCTCTCCCTCGGAAACCGGCGCGTGATCCCCCCCCCGCGGGGGCGCGAAGGCAGTCGCGCCTCGAGCATCGCGGCCTGGGCGTGGGAGGCACCGTCCCTGCAGGGGCGGCGGGCGGTGGGGCGCGAAGGCGGCCGCGCGTCGCGCACCACCTGGGCGCGATGCCCGAGCTTCGGCGGCCTGGCGCCTCCACGGGGTGTGCCGCGTGAGCGGCCTGCGCACCGCCACCCTCGCAGGGCCGCCGTGCCCTCGTGCGCAGTGCCCCCCCTCCCGCGTGCTCGCTGGGATGTCGCCAGGTCTACCAGAACCAGCCGGAGGCCGTCGGGGCCGCGCTCGGGGCGGTCCGCCCGCCGACCTTCCTTTTGTGTGTGTGTGTGTGGGGGGAGGGGCAGGCGTGCGCCCCGCACGGCGGAGGGGCGGGCGTGGCTCGGGGACTGCTCAAGATGTCCCCGGCTCAAGGTGCCCCCAGGAGCCCCTGGAGTCCTTTGGGCCTCTTAAGAGGTGCTCTGGAGGCTGTGCGGGCTGTGCTGCCTGGGGGACCATTCCTCACTCCACGCCAATTAGTACCTTGCTTGTTCGCAGGAGCGTGCCGTAGACACGAAGGCATGCATGCAGACACGTTGCAGGCGTCCGTGTGGGAGAACTTGTAGGCTTGGTTTTCTTGCTCATGTTCGAGTCGTGTCGCCAGCTCAAGCGGTGTCCTTTCGATTGTGGCGTGGCTCTCACCTTCACGCGTCTGCGATGCCTTGTCTCCCAACCTCCGCAGCCGATTCCGGCAGCGAGTAGTTGTGGCCGTGGCAGGCAGTACGCGGTTCGTTTTTCTTTCTCGGTTATTGTATGCAGGCGCATGACCGAGTGTCAGGGCCGCCAGCGCCATCGGACTTTTACGGTTTCATGAAGCTTCGCGTCTGCATGTTGATTGTGGGAGTCATTTAATTTTCATTTCCCAGAGGTGCGGCTCCATCATTCCTAGCCTTAGCCCATCGAGGCCCAACACACATCAATACAGCATGATACATCATAGACCACCCTTCGGGTGATGGTCAAGGGAGTGTGGTGGGATATGTGCCTCTTTCGGTTTCCGATTGGCTTCGCGGCGGATTTTCGGATTGGCAATCTAGCTGCAATCTACCAAGCCATGCGCATATCGTGCGAATCAGCGAGTCATGTAGCTTACCGTGTGACATCGTGTGATTGCCCGACAGGGTATCCGACTGTCTACACGTGGATCATCGTGGATGGTGGCTGTGCTAGCATGTTCGATGCACACTGCCACTGCGGGGCAGTTCTTCTCCAGTCAGTGTTGGCATTTGGGGGTTCTTATTTCTTCTCTGAGGAACGGGGCCTGCGGGCCGCTCTGGCCGCCTTGTGGCCGCCTCGTCGCCGCCCGTCGCCTGGGCCTGCGGGCCGCTCTGGCTGCCATGCGGCCGCCTCGTCGCCGCCTCGTCGCCGCCCGTCGTCGCCCGTCGCCTGGGCCTGTGGGCCGCTCTGCCCGCCACGTGGCCGCCCCATCACCGCCGCGTCGCCCCCACATCGCCGCCCCGTCTCGGTCTCGTCGCCGCCCGCCGCCCCGCCGCCCCGTCGCCGCCCGTCGTCGGGACGCTGTATAGCAATCGCACTGCACTGCAGTCGCGCCGCTCTGCATTGTTAGGTACTGCCTTTAATCGCTGTGCGTTGCTTTGCGTTACGTTGCATTGCTTTGCGCTACGTTGCACTGTGATGCAGTGGTTTGTTTTTAACTTCTTTGCGCTGCTTTTCGTTACGTTGCATTGCTTTGCGCTACGTTGCGGTGCAGTGCACTGGTTGGTTTTGATGCCTTTGCGGTGCTCTGTGCTGATGCTTGGCATTGAGTTGCATTTATCGTTTCCCATCTCCACATACATATAATAGTATGTCTGTATGTCTGAATGTCTGTATGGATATGTCTGTCTGTCTGTCTGTCTGTCTGCATGCATGCATGCATGCATGCATGCACGCACGCACGCATGTATGTATATATGTATGTATATATGTATGTATGCATGCATGTATTTATATATGTATGTATGTATGTATGTATGTATGCATGTATGCATGCATGCATGCATGCATGCATGCATGTATGCATGTATGTATGTATGTATGTATGTATGTATGTATGTATGAATGTATGTATGTATGTATGTATGTATGTATGTATGTATGTATGTATGTATGTATGTATACACACATTGGCCCGTGTATATATACATAGAGAGATAACTACGGCGTGCATTGCCTTGAACTGCTTTGCATAGCGCTGCATATATTGAACCACACATGTACTGCATCACGTAGCCTACACCACATATGTTATGCCACATCTATTTCCGAACCGCACGTCGCGACGCCAATCAGCGTGTCGCCCTGGGACCAATTGTGCGCAGGTCTTCGCTATGGATTCCTCTCTTCCTCCACACTCCCTCCTGCTTCTTGGTGCAACTTTGTCGGTCGATCTGCCCAGTCTGGGCTGCGACCGTTTCGCTTGCCACGCCGTGTCTCCTCTTACCAGTGCGCGGTACTAGATACTATTTGGGGCCAGTCGTTTCAGCCCTCTCCCCTTCCCTCCTTCCCTTTGTCCTCTGTCCTTTCTCCTCGTCGTCGTCCTCCTACTCCTCCTCCTTCCGCATTTGCGGATCGTAATTCGTGACATTTTCGCTGCGTGATGCAGTCTTTGCAGGCCTGCTCTTCAGATTCGTGTGCACCTGCCTATCTTCGATTTGAGGCCCGTCCCAGGTGAAGTTTGCCCTTGCCCGTTCGGCTTTCCTGTTTCCGTTTGCCGTTTGCCAGCTGTCGACCACGTTCGCAGGACAATCGCACGTGATGGGCCTGTTTCCACCACCACCACCACAAGTTGGATGGGGGGAAGGAGGAGGAGGAGGAGGAGGAGGAGGAGGAGGAGGAGGACGAAGAGGAGGACGAAGAGGAGGACGAAGAGGAGGAGGAGGAGGTGGAGGAGGACCCCCTCCACCTCCAACTTATGGTGGTGGTGGTGGTGGTGCAAAACAGGCCCATCATTGCGGGGGGGATGCTTTTCTCGACGGCGCGTTTGGCGAGGAGGCCAGCTGCGCGAATCTGTGCCGTCCGCTCCCAGTTTCTCCCTCCGAAACGCATTTGCTGCTTAATATGATTGCACCACACATATTGATGGGCCTGCTTTCCACCACCACCACCATAAGTTGGAGAGGGAGGGGGTCCTCCTCCTCCTCCTCCTCCTCTTCGTCCTCCTCCTCCTCGTCCTCTACCCTCTCTCCCTTTCCAACTTCCGGTGTTGGTGGTGGTGGAAAACAGGCCCATTATATTTTGCACCACGAAGCTTGCACCACACACATTGGCCCGCGTATATCGCGCCAGACATATTTCACCACATCGATTACACCACACAGACTGCACCACACAGCTCACACTGCGTCCTGTTCCTTGTCTGAAAAAGGAGTTAGGATCTACTCCCCTGGACTACTCACTCCCACTGAAGATGGTTCTGTCCCACCGTCATTTTCTCGTATGAACCCGTACACCCGATCCAATATAATATTCCCACCTCACCCATTGCGACTGTTACTACGGGCATTTCCGTTGTTCGTTTCTCTTTGTTGTTGTTGGTGTTTACCAAGAAATATTTTTAGTCCGTTGCAATACGTGAGTCCACGTCCCGTCTACGCGTTAGCGTCGTTCCGCGTGCACGTCGGCATCCATCAGCAACCGAAGGACTCGTAAGGATTCCAATATCGACGTTCCCGACTTCATATGAGAAACAACGCAATGTAATCGCATCCTGTTCTTTCAAAAAGTCATCGCGCCCGCTTTTGCGAATAAGAAACAATCGGTTTTCAACATTTCCATCACATGCGATTGAATGGGCTTCTCGTGCGCGCGTGTCGAAATCATTTGATGGGTCTCGCGCTCGTGGTGGGGGGGAGGGGGGCACGATCCCGGTCAAATGATACCATGCGGTCCACGACGCCGTCGGCCGCGCGCGCGTGTCGAACACCATCCACGGAACCTCATCACCAACGCGCGCGTGGACACCATCATTGTCATCGCCGTGATCAGCATCGGTGCCGTCATCGGCCTTGCCGTCGTCACTGTCAGCATGTCACCTGCATCGCTACTATCATCATCGTGCCTGCCGTTGTCGACGTCGCCATGCTGCCGCGCCCGCTCGAATCGTCGACTCGCGCTGAAGTGCCCGCGCGCCTGCGCTTGCGAGACGCGCTGGGACCCCCCCCCGTGGTCAGCGCCACCGCGGCCGCGTCGGTCGCGCCGCGCAAGCTGGCCGCTCTGCGCGCGAGCCTGCGCGCCCTAGCGCGGCCGCGGCGATGCGCCAGCCAGCGCCAAGCAGTGATCGCAATCGCCGCCGCATAGGTTTTGCGAGCGAAATGGTGGGTGGGTGGGTTGGAGGATTGCGCAAGCAGTGCAGTTGACCACTTGAAGCTCTGCAGGGCGAAACCTCCCTCCCTCCCTCCTTGTGCCTTCAAGCGGGTGCCGTTTCCTCCCTCCCTCTGGTCCTCCCTCCCCTTCCCTTAGCGTGGTGTCCATCGCTTGCCGCGCAATCAGCAATGTCTTTGCGAAGTGCGGCCGAAGTGCTGTGAATCGCGAGGCCGAGAGTTACTCATGAGTTAGGATTGTTCTATCGCCCACACAACAACAGCAACAGCAGGGCGAGTGGCGCCGCGCAGATTGCGCCGCATAGCTAACGCCACTTCTGTGGCACCACGTAGATTGCGTTGCATAGCTGGCGCCATGTAGCTTGCGCCGGATAGAGTCTCCTTTCTAAAAGAGCTTTCGGAGCTACCTCTCCCCCTGGACTTCTCGCCCCCCCCTCGGGATGTGCAGTTGACGCGTGATTCTGCCCCGTCGCCCATCCGGAATATGAATTCGGCGTGTATCGTCCCAGGTGGATGGGCATCCCCCCTGCGTCCTCAGGGAAAAATTAATGCGCGCGTACTCGTTCATCATTTTTTTTTTTGTTGTCTTCTTTTTTTTTCTTTCAAAAATCCCTTGCAACATAAAAACGGGGCAAAGTGCACGCGCGCGCGTCGTCGCGTGCGCATGCCAGAATCTGTTAAACATTCATATTTCCGTGAGGATTTCAAAATCGAGCGACACGAAAACATATACAAACATGGTTTCCCAATGGGGATTTTCAAGAAAAGCTTGCGCTCGCGAAGTGTTGATGCAGATTATCAGGACAACCGTGGGGTCTTCGACATTCTCATCAAGTGCCACCAAACGGGCCTCACGCGCCCATTTTGAATCGTTTGAGCGACCTCGCGCGTGTGCTGTCGCAGGAATTCTTTTCAACAGATGGGGCGAAGTGCGC